GCATCGTACTACGACCGCAAAACATATGTAAATAGTTCCACTAACTCAAAGGCTACGTGTGACAGCCGTCAAACATATCCCAATCTGACCCTGCAATCACATTCCCAAGCTGGATCTGCTCCCCACTGCTTTGTGGGTCAGGCTATTGAGCCAAAGGCTCTGAGTGGAGTCCCTCAAGCAAACCTCCGAAACACAACCGCCACTTCGCATGCGGTTTCCCACCAATGCAATCGTGTGTCTGCCAGCAAAGCACTCAGCATCGGGTGCCTGGAACATGCGCACACTACTGGACCGGAACTCCCGTGAGCGCCCGAGCGACGCACTACACTGGTTGTGATGGAACTGCCGCGCTGCCCCATCGATGTTGTGGCGCTCAGTGAGTCGTTTCGTTGAGCAAGGTAAGTTGCATGAAGCAGGTACTGGCAACACATTTTACTGGGTGGGCAATGCCGCCTCAGCACCACGTGAACATGGGGTCGGATTTGCAATATCTGATCGCCTAAACGGCCACCTGGTGAGTGTACCAACAGGCATTAGCGTGCGGCTGATGAATGTTCGCCTACGACGCGGAAGGGGTAATTTTACCACTTTGATCGGCACTTACGTTCCGACCGTGTGTTATCCTGAGGACACGCATGATCAATTCTACACTCAGTTATTCTTCGTGATACGGTCTGTGCCGAGATGCGACCGACTATTTCTGCTGGGTCATTTCAGCGCGCACGTTGTGCGTGATGTAGCACTGTGGACAGATGTTATCGGTCCGCATTGTATTGGTTCAGCGAATGCAGACGGTGTTAGGTTGCTCTCACCGTGTGCCTCTCACGGCCTAATGATCATGAACACTCGGTTTGCACTGAGTGCGAGTGATCTAGCAACTTGGATGCACCCAAGGAGTGGTCACGCTCACCTACTTGACTATGTCATCGTACGTCAGCGTGATATGCATGAAGTGCGCATGACACTTGTACTGCGTGGAGCTGAGTGTGGTACTGATCACAAATTGGTGCGGACCAAACTGTACATATATTTTCGTAAACCTATGTATTGCACTCCCGCCGTGAATCGGGGTAAATTTAACATGCTTTCCCTCGGTACTGTGGCGAAACGTATTGATCTGGAGAAGGCGGTGGCTGCACGCCTATGTGATGTGAAATGCATAGTCACAGTGGGCGACCTGTGGCACCACATTCGTGACCAGGTGACAGCTGCTGCCGAGGAAACCATCGGGTGCGCAAGCTGTAAGCGGCCTGATTGGTTTGCTGAGAACAATGCGATTATTGACGCATTGGTGTCAGAGAAGAATGCAGCATTTGCTCCACATGTGGCAGACCCCAGTGACTTGGGGAAGAAGAATCAGTTTCGCGAACTTCGACGGCGACTGGCCAGAGAGCTCCATGGCATTACAAGCGCATGCTGGACGGAGAAGGCAAGGCAGATGGAATACTACGCCGAACACCGCCAACGCAAGGAATTCTTTGACTCATTGAAGGCGGTGTATGGATCGAGATTGGAGCCGCTGAGGACGCTGATCGATGGTAGTTCAGGCGCTACCTGCACACAGACTGCAGACAAAATGCAGATCTGGTAAAAGCACTTTGAATGTCTCTTGAACAACCGTTCAGAGATCGACTGGCCTAATTTGAACGCACTGAAGCAGCACGATGTGGAGACGAGTCTGGCGGACACACCGACACTGGATGAGGCACATAGAGCTCTTGCTCAGCTGCGAACCGGAAAATATGCCAGTGTCGACGGGATCCCGCTTGAAGTATTTAAACACTGCGGACCCGTTTGGTGACTGTCCTATACCACTTGGTGCAACGCGTGTGGATTGAGGAGGAGGTGCCTCCTGAGCTGAAGGATACCCTTGTGCTACCACTGTACAAGGGCAAAGGAGCAAGCAATGTTGCACGAATTATCGTGGCATCAACTTACTGAGTTGCTTTGGCAAGTTGGTTGCCCGAACCCTGCTAAAACACCTCGTCAGTCAGGTTATGGGACCTAACGTGGCGGAAGAGCAATGTCGATTCCGTTCGTGTCGCTGCACTACAGATATGGTGTTTTCGGCTCGCCAGTTTCAGGAGAAGTGCAGAGAACGACACCAGCCGTTGTACACGCTTCTTTTGATTTCACCAAGGCATTTGATACGGTGAACCACGAGGCGTTGGGGCTGGTGTTGCATAAATAAATAAATAAATAAATAGTTTGTTCTCGTCATTGCGAGGCACACCATCAAGGGCATGATCATGCTAATACAGACATGTATGATCGGCAATCGCACAAATTAGTGTATTTTGACAAATGGCATAGGAATTTATGTGTGTGTTGACATGTAAAAGTATGTTTACTGTGTATTTGGAGGGGGCCATGTAGCGTGAGTAGGTAAATGTGACTCTGTGTGTGTTTCTGTTCGTTGTGTTCGCCATCAAAGGGGGAGTCAATGGAACGCTTTGAAGCAGATGTCGTTCGTGATGTGTGAATGATCCTCCGGAAAAGGGAAGAGGCAGTGACTTTATTTAGTGGCGAGTCATATCCGCCACGTCACAGTGTTGTTAAACGGATATCTGTGGTTTTTTATAGGGAGAACGCTTGCCAGGCGAAATCCCACCACATCCTGGAACACTGCCGCCGAACGATTTGCTGGAACGGGAAAATCCCGAACCACCCAGCTGGCACCACGAGGAGGTTGTTCGGCTAGCCAGCCGCTTAAGTTTACAAGTTTACTTGCATGTCTGCACAGTGATATGCGGGTGAGGGCGCAGCTGAGTGGAGAGACCTCGGATGACTTTGCAGTTGTCACTGGTGTGAAGCAGGGGTGTGCCTTAGCTCCTCCCCTCTTTAATATACATGTGCAATGATGTCTTTTGTTTTTGATGCAGCTTGTGCTTACGGTGTTCGTGTAAAACACCGTATTGTTGTTAGGTCATCCAGCATCCTTTGTTTTGGTGCGAGAACCCTAATCTGTGAGACAACTATCCGTATGCTACTGTTTGCTGATGACTGTGCGTTGTTTGCACAGAGTGCGGATGCGTTGCAGCACATGACTAGTGCTCTGACTTCGACAGCGACCAAATTCGGGCTCATCATCAACACAAGTAAAACTGTCTGTTTCATCCAGTTTTCACCCGTGGTGGAATCTTCAATATTGCTGCAAATCAGCATTGGTGGTGAGGTATTAGAAACCATCTCCCGCTTCTGCTACCTTGGGAGTGTGGCATCGACTGACCAGCAGCTACATAGTGAGCTGCATATCTGCGTCTCGAAGGCATCGGCGATATGCGGGAATCTAGAGCACCGAGTGTGGAACAAGTGACAACTTGCCATTGGCACGAAGCTGATGGTGCTAACTCCATGATGCCTTCCGTTCTTCTATGCGGCAGTGAAACGTGGACGATGTACTGGTGGGATGTGCGATATCTCGAGCGACTTCATCAACAGTGTTTGTGACGGATTCTGCGCATCGGTTAGAGCGACAGAGTTGCTGACACGGAAGTGTTGCGTCGAAGGGGAATGTATGCAGTGGACTGCATGCTTTTGCTGGGACACCTGAGTTGGCTCGGTCATGTGAGCCGTATGGATTTGACGCGGATACCGAAACAACTTTTATACGGTCAGCTGAGTATTTGGAAGGGGCATGCGGGGAGATCAAAGCTACGTTACCAGGACATGATTAAAGTGAGCCTCTGACGTTCTAATCTTGATTGCAGGTCATGCAAATCAAAGGCGGTTGATCGGCGTGCATGGTGCGATATGATCACGGATGTAGTTTTCAAAGTGCAAGAGAAAGACGTCGTGCATGCAAACACGAAGCGGAAATTGAGCAAGCGGCAAGGGCCGATGGGTTCTACTCCGTCGGCATCGAGCGCATGGTGCTGTAGCACATGCGGTCGCGAGTGTCTGAGTCAGGCAGACCTAATGAGTCAGGAGCGAGGCCAATCGGGACCAACACCGAAACGACGACGGATCCCGCAGAGAACGTAGGCAGAACCAGCGCAGCATTTGTAGGTAAGCTGCATTCGATTTACTAAACGCTTGCTTGAACGCTGGGTCTCTCTTTAGTTTAGGTGATGGGTTGGCTATGTTGTCTCATTCATGTCTACGTGCACTATCTTCTACTAACTTGCACACGTCGCTCAAGTTAACCGTAGTTAACTATGATAACATCTTTGCGTTTGTGGCATTTTAGTAAATTATATTTTCTGACGTCTTGAATCAATCACGGATATTTTTGGCAAGCAATTTCTTTCATATGTTTTTTACTGAAGAGCCAAGTCGGCATATCTGTATGCATCATTCGATTTATTTCATCTGATAGTGCCGTTTCAAGTGATTGATTGTTGCTTTATATCCCCGATGTGGCTGCGCTTGTTGTGCATGTTGACAAGTTGCCTACCTGTCTATTACCCACTACCTCGTCCATACTGGCTCCAGGAGACAGTTGGTCGTTGCTGGAGGGGACGGGTGCACGGCCCTTGTGGCCATTTTAGGCTCAAGCCGTGGTTCCGTGCACTAAGTGTGGAGCGGACTATGGGTCCAGCCACCGGCTTGTGTGCACTTGTTTCCCCAAGTACAGTGTGCTTGTGTTTGCCTGTAAAGGAGTGTTGACCTGCTCCTTTGCGTCCCCTCCGCGTGCCACCCGGTCTTATTCCTTTGGGTTTACACTGGATATAGGGTGTGTGGATGGAGCTATGGGTGGTACAGCGCAAGCCATCCATGGTCCCTCTGTAGGCGCAGGCGTCCTTTGGCTGGCCACAGTGACAGGCAAATCCGACACCGGATGCCGCCGACGAAATATATATACATATATATATATATATATATATATATATTTATATCACTTGAATTTCTGAATTCTTTAAATATACCCGGAATTTAAGAGTCTGGTTATAATGTGAGAAAGAATACGAAAGATTATTATTAGAACAATTAGTTCTTATCAGTCTTCAATATCAAACGTCATGTTTATAAATATCTAGGGAAAAAACGCCCTTGTACCCATGCCACTGGGCTTGGAGAAAGCTCTTATGCGAGTACTGCCTTATCAGTGGGTTGAAATAAGAGCGTCTCTAGACCCTATTGTTGCAGTTGCATTTATGCAATGGGCTGGCTAACTGAACAACCTCTACGTGATGTCAGCTGGGTGTTTCGGGTCTAACCCGTTCCAACGAATAGTTCGGCTGCAGTGTTCCAAGAATTGGTGGTTTTTTCTCCTGGCAAGCGTTCTCCCTATAAAAGGCCACAAATTGCTGCCTAACAACAATGTGACTTGGCGTATTTGAGTTGCTACTAAGTAAAGTCACCGCTCTTGCTTACTCCGACAATCTTAACAAAACCACAGACGTAAAGCATTCCTTTTGACACTGGTGACGCGATCGAATTCATTCTAAAGAACATCAACACATTTACAAACACAAGCAACATGGTTGGCGGCATCCGGTTTCGGATTTGCCTGTCACCGTGACCAGCCACAGGACGCCTGCGTCTACAGAAGGACCATGGGTGGCTTGCGCTGCACCACCCACAGCTCCAACCACACACCCCATATCCAGTGTAAACCCAAAGGAATACGACCCGGAGGCATGTAGATGGGAGCCAAGTTTCATCAACGGAGCCGGCCCACACTCCTTTACAGGCTAACACAAGCACGCTGTATTTGGGGAATCAAGCGCATACATGACCGTGGCTGGACCGTAGCCCGCTCCACTATAAATATATATATATATATATATATATATATATATATATATAACTGACGCGGATAGCGAAGCAGCTATTATATGTTCAGCTGCGTATAGGGAAGCGGCACGTGGGGAAACCAAAGTTACGTTACCAGGACATGATTAAAGTGAGTCTCAGACGTTCGGATCTTGATTGCAGTTCATGGGAATCGAAGGCGCTTGATCGGAGCACATGGCGCTATGTGATCACGAAGTAAATTCCCGTGGTGCAGGAGAAAGCCCTCATGCATGCAGAGAAGAAGCGGCAAGTGCGGAAGCGGCAAGCAACGATGGGTTGTACTCCATCGACATCGAGCGCATAGTGCTGTAGCACATGCGGTCGCGAGTGCCTGAGTCAGGCAGGCTTCGTGAGCCATGAGCGAGGCCACTCGGGACCACTACCGAAGCGACGACGGGTCTTGCAGGGAACGTAGGCAGAACCGGAGCAGCGTTTGTAGGTACGCTGCATTCGATTTACTAACCACGTGCTTGCCTGCTAAGTCTGTTTTTTTCAGTTGGTGGGTTGTCAATTTTGTCCTAACGCTTTTCTTTCTCATATATATGTCTACTTCTACCCTCTTCTGTAAACTGGCACACGTCACTTAAGCCAATTCTAGTCCTTTTCGACAACATTTTCGTGTTGGTGGCATTTCCGTAAAGTATACTTTCTCATCTCGTGAACTTATCTCGCATTCTGCTGTAAACAACTTACTTCATATGCTCATTACTTTAACATATATGTCAATCTTTCCTTATGCACTACTCTATTTGTTTTCTTTCTTATCTTCCTCTTAAGTGATTGGCTGTTGCTTGATATCCCCTTTGTGGCTGCGCTTGATGTGCATGTTGACAAGGTGCCTACCTGCCTATTACCCACTATCTCGTCCAAACTGGCTCCAGGAGACAGTTGGTCGTTGCTGGAGGGGACGGAGTGCACAGTTCCTGTGGCCGTGTTAGGATCAAAGAGTGGTTTCATGCACTCAGTGTGGAGCGGACTATGGGTCCAGCCACCGGCTTGTGTGCACTTGATTCCCCAAGTACAGCGTGCTTGTGTTTACCTGTGAAGGAGTGTGGGCCGGCTCCGTTGATGAAACGTGGTTCCCATCCGCATGCCTCCCGGTCTTATTCCTTCAGGTTTACACTGGACATGGGGTGTGTGGTTGGAGCTGTGGGTGGTGCAGCGCAGGCCACCCATAATCCTTCTGTAGGCGCAGTCGTCCTGTGGCCGGTCCCAGTGAAAGCCAAATCCGACACCGGATGCCGCCAACCATATATAATTGACATGGTGCCACAAAAGATAGAGGCCATACTGAGTCACAACATGTTCGCCACTGCGCACGATTTCTTGTCAAATCTGAGAACAGAGGTATTAACAGACCTGAAGATAGATAATACCATACTGTCAAAATAGATAGAAATATCCACTACGAAAGCTAACAGCTCCTTTTGCACAAACAGACAACTGAAATGCTGGAACATGGAACCATCTTCCGAGAAGAAACCTCGTAGTATTCTGCATTTTGATGTTACCTATAAACAGGAAACAGGACAATGGAATAATAGAACAAAGGCGTATTACGGGTAAAAAAGCAATGCTTAACAAGTCTTGTGAAGATGAAAATTTTTGCGAAAAGTAACTTGCATAATAAAGAGAAAAGCGTTTTGGTGGAATCACCAAAGACGTATGTAGAATATCGGGGATGTTCGCGTAGTAAAAGCACAAATCCATAAATCCATTCGTTGGGAGTTTGGTAAGATCGTTTGATTGAGTTTTGTAGCCCCTGGCTAACAATACAGAAAATGAAATGCAAACTTGTCAACGCATCGTCAACTCATTATTTAACAATCGCTTGATTGTGAGCAGAGACCACATAATTAGGGAGGGCGTTTCAAGGCTGGCACACGCAGAGGGAAAAGAAATGCCCACGGCATTCAAACCGGCTATACTGTGCTGTCAATTTCAGAGGATGAACTCTTATGTTAGTGTTGTGGTTCAATTCCAGCAGCGGACGACAAATGTGGTTTGGGTTCTTCAGAATCTGGTAAACCATTATGAGATCCCCCGGAAAAGCCGAAATCGACTGCTGTATACTACTAGAGATTTCAGTCTAAGCTGATAGGGCAGATAAAAGAGGCCCCTGACGTTCTTGGTTGCTCTTCTTTGAGGAGTCTCGAGAGTAACGAGATCCTGTTTCTGCCACGGTTGGCACCGCATACGCCACGTGCGTTCCCACGTAGGCGTTAAATATTTGGGGATGATTGAGTTTTCAAACCGCCTGAAAGCTCTGTGAAGCGGGCGGAAGTGCTGATTGCCGGATCTCGTCGTACTCTCTGTTTGTTTTAAACATCCGAGATATTCCTGTATCAATATACCCAGGTCCCGCTCCTGAGAGGCGTTCTGCAAAGTGTGGTCTCCAAACTTGTAAACGATGACTGGCTGGTGACGCAGATGGATCGTCTTGCACTTAGCTATGTTCAACTGAAGCAAGTTCCTCTTTGACCATTCATAAATGCAAGCAAGATCATGTTGGAGTAGATCGTGATCTTCATTGTTCCTAATCACACACCGTATCTTGACTTCATTGGCGAAAAGCCGGAAATTTAAGGAGATAACTCTTGCTACGTCGTTGATAAACACCAAGAATAAGTACAGTTCCAGCGCTGTTCCTTGAGGGACACCACATTCCACTTCAGTCTGGTTAGAGAGAGGTCTCCTAACGCGTACTTGAAGTCTCCGCTGGTGAAGAAAGTTGTCAATCCAAGCAAGTACATGATCGATTCGGTAGATCTGTTGCCAGTGGAGTAGGATGCGGTGATTCAAGCGATCGAAAGCTTTGGGGAAGTCCAGATAGATGACGTCATTTCCAACCCCGACACCAGCCACCTGCGTCCAACTACCTCGTGCCATTAGCAGGTTAGTGGTGCAAGATAGTTGTTGACGGAAGTCATGCTACTCCGGTGCCAAGATGTTGCAATTTTCCAAGTGGTCCATTAAAGCCTCAGCGACGACCGCCTCCATCCCCTTCGCAAGCACAGGAAGGAGAGTCACTGTGCGACAGTTTGCAGCCACCGAACGGTTACCGTCTTTAAAAATTGGAGTTATAATGCCACGCTTCCACATTGTGGCGGCATGCTGTTCGTCAACGCACGCTTTGAAGAACTGTGATAATGGTTCAGATAGGTTGGTAGCCGCAGCCTTCAGTGCTTTTGGGCGGATGGTGTCGGCTTCCGGAGAGCATTGATCGCGCAGTGAGAGTAATTCCTTAGCACAATTGCTGGGTTGAAAATTACATGTGTAACAAATGGAGTCTGTATTGTTCATGACATTATCGGAGAGTTAGAGGCTGCGAGTTCGAAAATTACGGCGTAGTGTAGCCGCAGGACATTAGCTGCTTCTTAGGCGCCTTGTATTCTGCCGCCTGTTGCGGAAAGTGGCGGAATGCCACGCTTCACTTTACGAAAAGTATTGACATGCCTGTACATCAGTTTGTTATTTGCCAGGAAATTTTGGATAGACACTGATGATAAGTTACTTTGTCCTCATGGACAAGTGCAGTGCAATGGCTACAATGGGTCAGGAAATTGCCCCGAGTCTCTGAGTCGGGCTTAACCTTGTAGGCACGCCATGCCGCATCTTTTATCGCCAGGCCTTTTCGAGTCCTGCTCCTTAGAATTGAAGACATTTTTGCGGGACAGAGGGCCTCCGTCTCTGATGTTTTGGTGACGATTTCCCTGAGTCTATCAACGAGGTTTGTCCAAAGCTTTTCAAGGGGACTGTTTGAGAATTCCTAAACAGATGCGTCGACAAGTTCTTTCAGGACATGGTAGCGTGTGATTGTATGAGTTAGTTCCGAGTGTTCAGATGGCTACTCTGCATAACATACATAGTTAAACGTTATTACTACATGGTCACCGAGACCTAGTGGACTATCCATCAATAACTTGTGAACCATGAGCTTTTCATTCATGAGCGCAAGGTCCAATATGGACGGTTTGTTTGCTGTCCTGAATCTAATGGGCATGGTAACATGCTTGTACAAAAGAATAGTAGCGAGCAGTTCATGAAAGTCTGCTTTGAATGTTCACTTGGTGATTCCGATAATTCCAGATGGTGTAGATTGAAGTCTTCGGAGATGAGAATATGGCTATACCTTGTGGGTGTTATCCTGTTCAACGCACTATCAAGCTGGAAGCCATTTCAGGAGTGGACGTTAGCGAGTGGTAAAACACAACTACGAGACATATGTCGTTGTTTCTTAGTAGGAGACGGCACTAGAGTGAGTCGGTAGCACGAGTTTTCAACTCATCAACTATTGCACATTGCAGATCGCTGCGGTAGTAGATTAGGACCCCAACTCCTCCTCTGGGGCGGTCGTTCCGTATAAGTGATATTCCGGCTATCTCAATCTCTACAACAGTCAGCGCTTGGTGTAACCAAGTTTCGGTAATATAAATTAGGTCCCAAGCATTCGAAACCTGACGTAACCAAAGTTAGGTAAGTTTATTGATGATCCCATGGGAGTTAGTGTACATACATTAAATTTATTCAGATTAAAGCAACATAACCGAGGTTGTGCTACTCAGACTAAAACTTTCGTCATCTCGTGGGTGGCCGGTGACTAATCCTTTTTCGATGTATGCTTGAAAAATGAACAATGAACAATGATTTATCACGGGATAAAAGCAAGTGCTGGACACGTCCCGTAGGATGGGTGGGGTGAATATGATGAAATCAAAATATATCTGGGTCATCTTTCGAAGCTCTACCGAGTTGAATACTTTGATAAATGACATCAGTGCAAACGTAAAAACATCGAGCGTAAACCTTCAGAAATACATTAGGGTTCAGTGATCGTTGATATAAAGCGTAAGAAAAGTAAAATATGATCGCTCACTTGGGTCCATTTAATACATAAATCCTGTAGAAAAGTATGCTTGGAGTAATCCACAATGAAGTGGTTTAGGTAACAAAATGCTGGGAGCTAAGAGCAACAGCTAATCGTTTGTTGTAAACGTCCAAGGGAGCGGAGGATACAACTATGTCCGGTAGTGCGTTCTAAGGTTGGCAAACCCGAAGTGAAAGTAATTATCTTGACACTAGACGGCTATATTGTTCTTTCAATTTTAAGCAGTTACCCCTGAGCTGCGTGTTGTGCCCAAGTTTCAGCAAATAGTGGCATGCGTGTTAGAGGTCACTCAACATCTGATATGCTAATATGAGATCCCCGCGCAGCCTTCGACAGCAACCGCTGAAAATACCCAGCAACTTCAGCCTTCAGTGGTAACAATGAGAGCGCAAGCTCTTTACATTATGTGTTGCTCTTTGTTGTGGTGCCTCTAATGCTTCTAGGTCACGCTTCAATCAAGCCCTTCGCAGCATGCCGACGTATTGGTTGCTAATTTTATCAGCTACCTCCGCTTGTTTTGAACATCTGAGTTCACTCTGTACGAGCACATCAAGAGCACATTCCTGGGAGCTGGTCTGCAATCCGTTTGTCCCAAACAAATATGTGTGGTTATGTCTATGGCGCAATTGTACAAAGCGACATTTGTCTACGTAGAATGGTAGTGCGTTTTCAACTGACCAGTTCGACACTGTGTTAAGATCGCACTGGATCCGTTCGTGGTCGTCCGGTCCTCTGGTCTTTCGCCCTGTCTTGATATAATCAGCGAAAACATGAAATCGGAAGCGAATGAGCTCGCCAAATCGTGAATGAGCACTAAGAATAGACGAGGTCCAAGCACCGAGCCTTGTGGTACACCAAACACCACATTGATTGCATCAGAAAATACTTCTCGGACTTTTCCCGCTAGCTATGGTTCTTGTAAAAACTTGGTAATCCAACTCAGGATTGGGTAGCCCATGCCGAAGTTCCGAAGCTTCTGAAGAGTAATTCAATGGTCTAAGCGATCAAAAGCATTTGAAAAGTCCAGGTAGATGACATCGACTCTTGCTTCAGCCCAACTATTACGCGCAATTACTGGTTTCGTATTACACAGATGATGTTGACGAAAGTCATGTTGCTCTGGGGCTATTAAGTTGTGGCTTTTCAGATACTGCATCAGCGCATCTGCGATGATTGATTCCATCACTTTGGATGGTACAGGAAGTAGTGTTATTGGACGGTAGTTGGTAGGGTCAGTGCGGCTACCTCCTTTATGGATAGGAGTGATGAGGCCTCGCCCCCAGACTGGTGGAATATGGTTCTCTTCTAGATATCGCTGATAGAAAACAGCCATTGGTTCTTCTAGATCACTAGCTACGGCCTGCAGAGCTTTTGGTCGGATGTTGTCGACTCCAGGAGAACTGTGGATACGCAAGGATAACAACTTCTTCGACACATCTTCCCCTTGCAACTTCCCCCCCGTGAAGGGGATGTTGTCTACAAAAAAAAACGCCGGCACTGTGTGAAGCAGTAAGAAATGAGGTGAAGGGGGTTTATGAGCTCAGTTATCGAAACCCACCAACAACCCAAACACCAGCTGGAGAAATTTGGGAGACAATGAAAGTCCGTAGGAGCGACCCGGCTGCTGCATCATTGCAGCACTCGCAAGGCAACCCATCAGTCGTGGCCTAGAGCTGAACATAACCCCAGCTACACCATATCGCAGGCCGTGCTCCCTACCATGTGACTGACCCTACAGTAAGTGTGGCGGATACGACGCAGAAACCCTTCATTAAACTCCTGCTGATGCGTGACCTGTCTTCGCGATAGGTTCCAGAAAGGGGGGGAGGGGGGGGGGGGGGGGGGGGGGGTGGGGGGGGGGGGGGGGGGGGGGGGGGAGGGGGGGGGGGGGGTAGCGGGGGGGGGGGGGGGGGGGGGGGGGGGGGGGTTGGGTTGGTTGGGGTGGGTGGTGAAGGGTTAGTCAACTTCATATTGAATTTGTATCTTGTATAGTAGGGGGGGATGGGAGTTGGGGGACTGAGGTGGTCGGAAGCTAGTAGCCTAGTTTGAGGATATGGTAGTGGGCGTCGATGACTGGCGGAGCCTATAAGTCCTTGATTCCCCATACCAGATACAATCCGTAAGGTTTATACTTTACCATTACCTGGATGCAGAAATCATGCGGGAACGGGCTGACGCACACGATTTATGCGGTTGCGGGCTTTCTCAGCATGTCTTCCTTTGGTGTCTCTTCTTTTTCCAAGCATAAACACACATTCTCCTTTCCGGTTCACCTACCTTAACACAAAATTCACCGTAGTTCCTTTGCTCTTCTCCATATTTTTCTTTCTTCTCTCGTTACTCTTCTCACAACAATTACCAATAATCAAATCCACATTTTTCATCCAACGCAATAAAAAAACTCGAAATGGCCGCGTCGCCCGGCTTCACACAACATCTATGCTTCCGTGATAATCCGCCTTCGTACTGCGGCTATACCCCGCGCCAGCAGTTGCCACATCGCTCCATTAATCCGCGGAAAGCACGTTACCCCGTGTCCCGCTGCGTAAGCTAACAACAAACCCACCGAACAATTCGCGACCGTATGGGGTCCGGGCGGGGACTTTGTTTGCATTTCTATTCTATGTTTTCCGGGTGCGTTTA